TTGTAGTTATTTCAGGGCTGAACTCTGGGGTGTCTTCCGAGGACTGTAACTGGCTTGGAATTATGGGTTTAGGAATGTGATTTTGGAAAGTGACTCTTCTAGTGGGGTCACTATACTCACCTCTTTAGGTGCAGTAGCTCGTGATCGTCATTTGATTGCTCGCATACGAGCTTTGATGCAGAGAGGTCGGATTGTCAGATTTCATCACACTTCCAGAGAAGAAAACGTCTGTGCCGATTGGATTACATATTTCATCTTTGATAACAATGAGAATTTAGATTATTTCGTCAGCAAAGAGGAATTCAACTGTTGTTCCTAGTTGACCTTGCTGCTATAGGCAGACCTCGTACGTTAGTTGTTCAGTAGTTGTTGTTTTTTTTATTTGTTTGATTTCTTTTCTTTGGTGGGCTTAGGCCCTATGTTATACCAAAAATAAAAAAGAGTTATTAAAGGAGAAATATGAAATATTCAGTTAAAAGTACACAGTAAATATAAATTTCTTATAATAGTTATGGATAATTTTTTTTTTGTTATTCTCCAAAAAAAAAAACAAGGAAAAAAGTTGTGATGCAAGCAAATAAAATGGGCAACCAACAACTCACCAAAAAAAAAGGGCAGCCAACATTAATTCGTAGAATAAATTTTAGGAAATTTTATTTCGTGTCTCTGAGCAGCAATGTTATTAAAATCTGTTCGGTCATTGACCCGGTCGAGGTACTGGATCACTGGTTCAACCGCATGACCCAGTAATTATATGTAATTCTATATTTTATATGAAAAAATTATAAACATACTCAAATATCTAAAAAAAAATTGATAATTTTTTTAAATATTTTAATGTAAAAATAAAAAATAACATATTATTATCCAATAAAGGATCAAACAAAAATATAATTATTATGATACAGGACTTCAGGTTCAGTAAACGACACCTCTAACTATAAATCAAATCAAATTTTTCTGCATTGTATATAACTAAGATAATATTAGTGTTGTAGGTATATAACTTATGTAAGTCAATAAACAAAAAAATATTAAAATATATCCATTATTATTATTTTTTTGAAAAAAAAGATTTTGAATTTTATTTTTTGGGACCGGGCCGGGTCAACGGTTAACAGATTGGGTCACCGATTTTTATAAAAACCAGCCAGGTCGCACTGATTCTAACTCATGGCCGATCCGTTGCTTCAACCGGACCGATTATATAACTGGTTTATCGTTTTTCAGGACCACCCGGCAATGTGAGTCCAGTTTTATCAACATTGCTTTGCATTATTACTTGATTTTTTTTTGGAGTTACCTAACCCTAATTATCTCGTTGAGACGAGTTGGCTCCCTCCGGTATCTCCACGAGCTTCGACTCTTTGAGCCGGCTATGGGACTAATCCGGAGTGCGGGGGAACAGTATGGCTGATCTTTTAGTTTTGTGTAAATGGACCTAGAATTTTTTATGATAGGGCAAAAATAAAATATAAAAGTTATAAGTATTATTAAGATTAATGTGAGGGATTAATTACAAATATTTTTTAAGGAGGGACTAACTATTAATACTAAGTCTGTTATTATTAAAAAATTACTATTTTATATATATAATAATAGAAAAAAAAATCAAAATTTAGGGAATGGTAACAATCTATTATTGCCTCTCCCCTAAATCCGCCCCCGGTACTTGGCTCGCCGGTTCTTTTACAAGTTACAACTAAATTAGACTTACGAATTGTACTAAAAAAAATTAGATTTACGAAAATATTTATAGTATTACGGGAATATCGGACATTAGTATATCATTTATCAAATATGATAAAAATAACCTATTTAACTATCTCTTATTTTTATAATTATTTCCATCTATATTTTATTTTTTCTCCTTTTTGATCATAGGGTAATTACTCTTGTAACACTAAAATGTGCTCTAAATTTGCATGTCTCTTTTATGAGTTGCCCTGACGTCGAACAGACGAACACTACCGCGTTAATCATTTGCAATTTAGCACACCATGCTATTAGGACACGTTGACGTTACCAATTCGAGTTTTATTGTGTGAGTGGATGGCTAATAGATTTTTGTCCACTAACATTAATTTCATTTAAATTCTTATTGTAATGTTTGGTAGATGTATTTATAAAGATCAACGTAAAAAATGTGAAGATTTTTTTAATGATTTATATTATTTTTTAACATATTTTTTCATATAAGAGTTATTTGGATTTAAAGTATGGCTATTATATAGATATTTTTTATTGGATCAACGTACAAATGTAAAGAACCAATTCAATGCAAAAATTTAATCTATTGGATGAGTTTTTTTTAATGGGTTATATGATTTTCTAGTAGTATTAAAATAAAATGGAATTCATAGTTTTATTTTATATTTCATGTATTTTTGAAATTGAACACATCATATTAAAAAATAATATATTTTAATTTCATTTAGGAAATGAATAAAACAAAATGCTCTTTCTGTATGTCAAATGCTGACTATATGTTTATTTCAGAAACTCTTGACGGTAAAGAATGGCATGACTCATTTCTAGTGGACACGCGTCTTTAATAATGCTTATTTCATGGTTTCTCCCTTTTCTTCTTTCTTTATGCATGATGTTGTTTTATGTGGCATAAAAAAGAAGAAGAAGAAAGAAAGGTCTAATGCGACGTATGGTCTTGTTCCACCTTTCAAAAGCACTTCTCATTTCTTAATAACTAAGAAAAAAGAAAGAGCAATTCGGTAACATTCTACAATCTTACTTTACAGCTTCCAGAAACAAAGAGCCATCCAATGAGAAAATACTGCTGTGGAAGTAATTATCTCGAAACTTAATAGAATTTACATAAAATGCACAACTTACAGCATGATATAGCTAGAAATATTTAGTATCAATATGCATTCCTCACTTCCTTTTAACTTTTGTGTTTACTTGAACCCTCAATTTTCGCTAATAGCTTATGAAACATTTATATTATCCATAGTTTGTGTAAAACAAACCCAGCACTCTCACTCAATGCGCCTTGCCACATGCGAAAAAATAAAAAATAAAAAGCTTGCCTTTCATATTACATTTATTTTTTTATACAAACCTTTATATATTGCATTAGGCTCTTTGATCAAACAAGGTGTTTTTCACCGCTTTAATTTTAATAAAGGTCTTTTAGTGTCGCTGACGAGTCCTAGCAACACTGAGCGCTGCAATTCTCTTGGGGCATTTACACAACTATGTCAATTGATACAATTTCGTTAGTGTAAAACTTCAAAAGCTGTACCTTTTTACTCGGGTATCTAAATCAGATTTTTTTTTTTGATTTTACATAACTTTTTGAGATCTACATAATGACACATCATTTGACATATTTTATCTCTTACAAACATGCTATGTTCCAAATTTGTAAACAATCACAAGAAAAAGACTACGATAACATGTTGGCCATGCTTGATACCTCTGAAGCTGTCATCTACCCCTGCTATGTTTCTTCTTTCCCTACTACTAGGATTTTCCATTCTTGCTCCCACTTTTTTTTCGCTTTCTTTTTCATCACAAAAATAAAGCAGGGATAGACGATAACATGTTGGTCATGCTTGATGTCTTTGAAGCTATCGTCTATCTCTGCTATATTCCTTCTTTCCTTATTGTTAGGGTTCTCCATTTTTGCTCCTACTTTTTCTTTGTTTTCTTTTCTTCAGAAAAATATAGTAGGGATAGACGATAACATGCTGGCCAAAAGCTATCGTTTATCCCTGCTTTGTTCCTTTGTTCCTTTTTTCCTTATAGCCAGGGTTCTCCATTTTTTTTCCAACTTTTTCTTTATTTTCTTTTCTTCACAAAAATAAATTTTGAAATTAACTATTATCTCGCACAGGTGCTATTGCAACTCTAATAGACAGAAATTCAATTAATTAAAATATCAACAAAATTGATTTGAAAATCGAGAAAGTTAAACAAATCAAGGGTTTTTACCTCTTCTCGCCAAAATTTGACAAACATCATATGTTATTATTCAAACATATGCTTCTGGATTTAAAAACTCTTGTGATAGTGGTACCATTATTACAAATCCAAATTATGTTTGTGAGAGATAAAATATGTCAAATGAGGTGTCATTGCGTAGAACTCGAAAAGTTATGTGAAATAAATAAAAAATCATTTGATTTGGATACCCAAATCAAAAGTTATGACATTTCGAAGGTTTACGATAACAGAATTGCCTATGGTAACGAGATTGTGCCATTTGGCACAATCGTGTGAGTGACACCAAAGGAGTTGCGACACTCAGTGTCGCTGGATCCGGTGGCATTAAATAACCCCATTAGTAAATATCAGAAATCAAATATCAGATAACGAAATTAAAGGGGTAAACGTAAACCACACACACCCGGTCAAAGATCCCATTGCATTAACCCTCTTTATGAATGCATTTTCTCATCCATAAGGAAAACCAATTGGACTGTGTTAAGCGACCGTGAATGTATAACTTGGTTGATTTTTATTTTTTTTGCTAATTCAGGTAAAGCACAAAAAGAAAAAGGAAAAAAGAGAGTCAATGATTAATGGATAAAAGCCTGGAGCGTTTACCAGCAAGTGAACGAGTGTGAGTGAGTGTGACCATACATAAACACTGAAATTGGAGCTAAGGAACCGCATAAACATTACACCATAAAGCCGATATCTAAAACAAACATTCTTAATATGCTATACTATTTGACTCTTTAGTTTCATATCATAAATGTTACAGCAAATGCTGTGGCAAAAATGTTGGTTACAATTGACATAAGCACATCTGGATTAATAAAGTGAGAATAGCAAGATTTTTTTTGGTCAATAATTTGTGATATAAATAGACCATATATTTAAATATATCATGAGATTTTACTTTCCAGCTTCCACCTTCAATTTCTCCAGTTGAGCCTTCAATTGGCAAAGTAAAGCGGCACGTCATATTGCATTTGAGAATCAGTAGAGGGGTCTACCCTAAACATAGAATGCCACAAAAAGAAAGGGGTCATCTTATTGCTAAAGTCATATGGTGGGGACAGTTGTCTTTCACACACCACCCAATAAACTTCTGTCGCCCACTTCACTTCCTTTCCATTCATACCACAAATCGGATTCAGTCAGCATAAAAACTTCCTTTTTCAATCCCTCTTTGATCAGAACTATACAAAAGGCAAAAGGTATATTCATTCACCTAAGATGTTAAAAACTAGATGCATGAATCCCGAGGAGTATATACAAATTTCAATCCAATTCAGCCTCAGCGTTTCCCACCTCTTTTCTTCAACACTGACTTAAGAAATAACAAACAAACAATCAAGAATCCCAAAGCTGCAAACCCACCAACCGCAAGAGCCACTGTCCTCTCCGTGTGTTGATGCTCCCCTGACCCTGATCCAAAAAAATAAAACCAAACTCAAAAATCATGCTTTTATTAAATTCTCACTAAACAAACAACCACAACCACCTACCCAGATCCCTCGAATCCCTTCCCCAACCCCACTTCTCAAATCCCCCCTTAATGGCATTTGGCTCAATAATAATTTAGATTAGCACTTACACAAACTCATATCATATAATATACACAATACATGTTTTTTCCCACCTGAAAAATAATAAATAATTTCCCTTATTTTTAAAAAAAATTGCCGTTAGCTCACACTGACATAAGCACAAACACGTAAAGAACAACATTGAAACTTGCATAGATATTCTAATAATCACAATACATTAATCTCTATTGTTTTACTTACCTGACGAAGATGACATGGTGGGAACTCCACTGGGGTAAAAGCTATAACTGATATAGCAATTGTGAAGATAAATTTGTGCAGAAATTGAGTCACCACAATCAACCTTGGCTTGTTCCTCAGCACTCTTGACACAAACCCCACAATTATCATTCCCCAAATCACCCTCACACTGCCCCAACACATATAGAGATTGGTAGCTCCCCGTGTAAAACAAGCTCCCACCACTCCTCACGCCATTCTCCACCATACCAAACGCAGTGTCCCGCGCGGCCTCGAAACCGCCGCCGTCGCCGGCCTTCTTGGACCCGCAAACCTTGTACAGCAGCTGGGTCTGAGGCACCTGCCTGAACCCGACCACCTCGTACCTCAGGTAGCACCCGCTGAGCTGGACGCGGGCAGCCGCCACGTCGCCGCCGCAGAGCTTGTCGAGCATGTCGGCGATCTTGCTGACGCAGCTGTAGCAGTCGGAGTTGGTGAGGTCGCCCCTGCATTGGTAGACGCCGGTGATGGCATTCTGGGCGTCGCCGGAGGTTGTGGAGGCGAAACCCTTCTGTCCGGAGCTCGACACGAGAGAAGCCAATAGGGGTTTGAGGTTCTGTGACGATGGGTCTTGCAGTTTCTGATCAGAACAACCCTTGTAAACCAAGTTTGTTGTATCTGCAGCTGAGGTAGGAGTAGGAGTAAGAGCACCAAGAAGGAGAAGGAGAACAAAAACTGTTACGAAAAGCGTGAAGGGGAGCGTGTCCATATTTTTAGTGTTTGTTTTCGCTGCTTATTTTTTTTGTTTTATATGCAACAAACAACCTCTACCTCCTCTCACTCGTTGTATGCCATTCTGGGTGGGATCGTTTTCTCGTTCTCAATCAAATTAATATTTTAAGTGAAAAAAACTAGCTAGTTCGTCTTTTGAATTATTAGTGAAACAGAGGTTAAATTATTGGTTTGTCTAATTCTGTTGCAAAAACTTGGACATAAGTGTAAAGTTAATGAGGTTATTTTGACCCAAAAGCATCTTTTGAATGCACCCAACAAATCAACAAATTATATTTTTTATACAGTTAGACGCGGAGCGTGTTCCTCTGTGGTACGGATATGGTAGCCTCTGCGGTTTATAACGCGTGGGCTTAAAGGGTAATGAACACTGACGCATTCTTATATACTGTATACATATAATTATTTTAAAGGAAATAGTTAGAAAGACTCATAAATCATAATACAAATAAGGTTCATAGAATGGTGGATAGAGGAAAAGATTCAAGATGAAGTCGCCCTGTTATTGTATATGCAAGAACGAAAGATTTTCTCTCGTAAAAGGATAAAATTATTCTCCCCCTTATTTTAATTTCGAGTAAATATATTTTTTAGTCTCTGTCAATATCCACGAAGGCCTTCTCAGTACTTAGCAATAAAAAATGAATAAATTGGTCCCTGAAATTACAAAAAAGGGGGGCCACGTTGGTCCTTCTGTGAACTCCACCGTAACGGTCCAACTAACGGTGCCCATGTGGCACGTTAGTGTGCTGACGCGGCTTGGACGTTGGACAGCGTGGATGAGCAAACGACGACGTTTTGTTACAAATGGGTTCAGAGCTTTCCAAAGTAGGGCACGACGTCGTTTCTTGCTTTAATCATGAATCCTGAATATGAAAATACCCCAAATTTCTTCAATCGAACCCTAAACAGACACAAATTCCCCAAATTGATGAGCAAAACCCTAAACAGCAATACGCCCCCAAAATCTCTGGACGTTGATGATTGAAACTCGACGACAGTAGAGGACATCAACCGGATTTGCCAGGCGTGGGAGAAGATGAATGTTTCTTCTAGCATGGGGGATCAAGTGGGAGTACTTCAATGGGGGAAGAACACTGACAAGGACCACCGGTCGTAGGTGCAAATGTGGAAGTACTTCAGACTGGACACTATGCAAAGAGCTGTGAGGGACCACCATCTTCCAACAAAAACAACAGACAAGCAAGACCAGAATCTGTAAGGATTGGATCCAACTCAGTAGATGAAATCACATTAAGTCAAGGAGGCCCTGCAGCACATGGTAGTTCTCAACCACATGAAGGCAACTTGAGAGGAAGCAGCCCACCTTCATAAAATCCACAACAGGCAAATGAAATGTTGAGTGAGGAAACAAGGAATGCAGCATCCAATGTCACACGAAGCAGATTTTTGGCCTTCATGACAACCTCTGGTTTCAGGGCACCAAGGCCTGCCTCAAGAAAATGAATGAATGTTGTACATGAAGTGGGAGTAGTGCATAAGGCAACTGACAAGGACTGCATATAATGTAACTGACTTTTTTTTATAAATTATGGCCATTATGTTTTTGGAGGCCTCATATAGTCAATTTATATTTTATTTTTGAATTCTGGACATATTGTATTTAGGGGCCTTTCTTTTCATTCCTGACAGTTGGCTTTATTTTGTAATGCACTACTCTTATGTAGTTCTTGGACAAAAATATTTAACTGAGATATGTTTGTTAACTGAGTATTGCATGTCTACTGGTTGAACATATTGGACAACATTTGTATGTGATGTATTGCACTTCTGTTTTGAACAAATTTGGGCTACATACAAAAGCAGACAAGTATGTGCAGCCATTTCTCTGTTTAGGGACCAATAAGGGGCCCGTGCATTTTGTCAGGGACCAAAATGGTCACAACGTTGATGAATGTTCCAGCTGTTATGTCTAACAGGGTAGATGAATGTCATACAAGCATGTCCATTTTTTACTGTTATGCCTAACTGAGTTATGTAGTTGTTGGACCTCCATGTCATCTGTTATGCACTTTTGTTCTGTAAACTTGTACTGGATAGAAAATCAATGAAGTCATGTCCTATTTTTCTGTGGTCAGGGACCAAAATGGGCCCCGTGCATTTTGTCAGGGACCAAAATGGTACTCGATGTAATTTGTCAGGGACCAAAATGGCCCTCGTGTTTTGCCCTGGTTAACAAATGTGCATAACAATATGGAACTTTTGTAACAGCAATTTCATGGTTTTTGCATTTATATCTGTACATGGATGGTTTGTGATACAATGTAGCAAGTTATTGGCCTTCTTTCTATGCCTAACTATGCAATATACCATACTAAAAGAAACTTAGCATCCAGTACTGCAGTAGTTTATACACAAATATATGATGCCAGAAGATATATAGGAAGACATTGAAAGCTTCTTTATAACAGGTCATATGATACCATACACAAACAGACAGATTCGAACCAACAGAGAATGTTCCATATAATACAACCTTCTTCATTAATTTGTATAACAACAGTACTGAGTACTCATTACAGTTCATTGAAGGAAAAATACATTGGGGTAACTTGTTTTCACTTTTACCACACTAACAGCAAACATACAGAAGATGATCACACCAACACAAGTAGCACCTAATACCCTAGCTGACCTATCAATTGTCCTAATTTGTTTGTCCATCCTATCTAACTCCTCCACCATCTTCGAGTATACATCATTCAATTTTCTTTCCTGCTCGTGAAGCTTCATTCCTTGCTCAGTAATTTTCACATCTTGCTCTCTCGCCATCATGTCCACATACTTCAACTTGAAATTAATTTCAGCAACATCCAACTCGACAGTGTGAATTCTTGTTTCTTCCAGCTCCATGGGATCATTACACATGTCATCTACCCATCTAAAAAAATCACAATAGGGTTTCTTTTCCTGCAAAAAAAAAAACCACGGATAACAAGTGTTTCAACTTAATAATGGGGCACATTACACATGTATACCTTGAAATTATGACACCCAAGGAAAGCCCTGTATGGGTTTCTCTCAGTTTTGGAGGTCTATACAATACTTTGTCTCCCACATTTGCACCTACGACTGGCGGTCCTTGTCAGTGTTCTTCCCCTCATTGAAGTACTCCCACTTGATCCCCCCATGCCATAAGAAACATTCATCTTCTCCCACGCCTAGCAAATCCGGTTGATGTCCTCTACTGTCGTCGAGTTTCAATCATCAACGTGTTGGACAAGTGGCTTCAATACTCAAGAGGGGGGTGAATTGAGTTTTACAAAATCTTTTCGCAAAGTGCCTCCTTTGATATTTTAAAGACTATTTCTTCAATAAAGTGATTTAATGAGGAGAAATCTAAGTGTGGGATCAAGTGTAGAGATTAACAAAGTAAGCAAGCGAATGGACAAAGACAATCCAAAGATGCAATTTCAATAATAAAGTAAAGAGGTAAATGTTAGAGAAATTGCAAACTAGATGTATCTTGGTTCGGTCACTACCACCGTGACCTACGTCCAGACTGAAGCCGCTCGATCAATTCTTTTCACTAACTATCAAGCTTGAGGGTGCTTGACAAACCTCTACAACCTTTCAAGACTTCAGGCTCTTGATGCCTCACAATTTTTCACTCCAAATTTACTTAGGAATTTGGTAACCTCTTAAGTATAGGGTTCACTCTCCTATCAAATATAGAAGTAAGATTGAGGTGATTAGAAGTGGCTAAGTACTCTCAAAGTACAGATTGAACAAATTGAAGAACTAAGAGATGTATAACTTCAAAGGAAAGATGAGCTTAAGTGTATGCAATGATCAAAGTAAGTAATTAATGAGCAATAATAGGCTAGCAAGAGTAATAAAGCTTCAATGAATGATCTAGGGTCGTGTACTGTTCATCCCAACTGATGTGGTTATTTATAATGACACATCCTATGAAAACTAGCCGTTTATAGCCGTTGTAATCCATACATATCCGGATATTCTTCGGGCTCATATCCCGATATTGGATATCCGGATATTTTTGGTTCCATATCCGGATATTTCATGGCAACATCCTTTTTGTACGAATTCTGAGTTTCTTTCTTTCCAAATGGTTTTTATGACTTGTACTGCATGTTTTTGGTTATCGAAATTATCTAGAAAAGTTTGTATCACGTAGGTACTTCTTCCAAACCAATATTGTACATATGAAACCATTTGTCTTGACTTTTCTTTTGAGGATGAATGCTTTTGAAATACGAGTGATGAATGACCTTGAGCCCATGCAATGCTTTGTATCTATACATCTTTACACATTTTTCCTAAGTCCTAAATAAATATACCATTTGAGATTTTGGACTTGGATTGATGCTTGAGACTTGGTGCATGCTTTCACATTTGCTTTTTGGATATTGCTTCGTCTTTGAATAATTCCTCTTTGTTATCATCAAAACTATGTTAACGTGGAATCATCAAGTGCACGTTGTATCCATATCATCACTTTGATTCATCAATCTCCCCTTTTTTGATGATGACAAACTTTAAATTGAGAAAGAGAGTTAGTGTTGCATAAATTCATTCAATTGAAATAAAGCACTCCCCCTTAGTTCATGGTATAGGTTATTTATTAATTTTCAATATCTCCCCTTATTTACCGTGCAACTTGACTAATTGAATATTTCTCAATTTAGTATATCTTTCTCCCCCTTTGGCAATATCAAAAAGAAGCAATCCAATAGTGAAACGAGTATGCAAGTAAGAAAATACGATGTATATCAAAAAAAATATAGTGCAATGAAGTGTCAAAGAAAATATGATGTATATCATTAAGCAAAAAACGGTACATACATCAAGTAGATACGCGTAGTACTCAAAGCATAATAGCAGTCAAAAGGAGTACAAGCGTACAAAAAATTATAGTCTAGCTAGGAAACAAAATAACAATAAGCAATCCTAGACTAAGAGTCGTCCTCGGAGCCAGAAGCAGAAGGAATGTGCTCAT